TTATAGCTGCAATTCGCCTTAAATTCTTTAGAAAATTATAGTCATTCAGTGTACTGCTTTGTTGTCGTGTTTACACCCATTTAACTTGATATGTTTTGCTTTCTGGTGTTATATTCCCACCCAGAAGCCATTCTAACTAAATACGGAGATAGAGGACTGGTTAAACCCGAAATAAATGAATGTCATAAAATGTGTTAACTAGAGCGTTTTTATTGGATTTTATGGTACATTCAAATGGAGGGGAATTCCGTTCGAAGGTAAGGATTTGAAATTGATGGAAAATGAGAAAGAAAAGGACAAATTGTAATAACATTGATAACACAAGAGAATTGGAGAAAAAATGCTATTAAAAAATCCACGCCTATGGAAGACCAAGAAAAAAATATTTTTAAAAAATCCACGCTTATGGAGGACCAAGAAAAAAATATTTTTAGAAAATCCACGCCTATGGAAGACCAAGAAAAAAATATTTTTAAAAAATCCACGCCTATGGAAGACCAAGAAAAAAATATTTTTAAAAAATCCACGCCTATGGAAGACCAAGAAAACAATATTTTTAAAAAATCCACGCCTATGGAAGACCAAGAAAAAAATATTTTTAAAAAATCCACACCTATGGAAGACCAAGAAAAAAATATTTTGAAAAAATCCACGCCTATGGAAGACCAAGAAAAAATTATTTTTAAAAAGTCCACACCTATGGAAGACCAAGAAAAAAATATTTTTAAAAAATCCACGCCTATGGAAGACCAAGAAAAAAATATTTTTAAAAAATCCACGCCTATGGAAGACCAAGAAAAAAATATTTTTAAAAAATCCACGCCTATGGAAGACCAAGAAAAAAATATTTTTAAAAAATCCACGCCTATAGAAGACCAAGAAAACTTCTGAGGCAAATATTTTTATAAAAATTGTGTTTTATTTTTATTTAAAATATGTTCTCAGCTAAAAAATAATATTGAAACAGCTGTTATGTTAGTTTGTAAATAATAAACATATGTTTTCTAGTGTTGCCAACTACCTACAAAAATACAATTTATTTATTTTTGATTATTTTTTCGTATTTTTTTTATTTTTATAAAATATATTTAAAAAAAATATTATCTACTTATTTTTCTTCTTCAAATTAACGGCCTTCTTCTTCTTTCCCTTGCAGCACAAGAATTTACAAAGGGCCACAAATACACCCACCACGCCGAAGACAATAGCCAACAGAAAGCCAATAACATCCAAAGACTGCAATTGCCACCAGGTCATATGCACTGCAGGCGATTGCATATGTTTCGCACCATTATGCCTTATAACATAATCGACCCAATAGCGTACCAATTGCCGGGGAGTCATTGGCCTATCACGATATAATTGTGAGAATTTCTGAACATTTTCACGATATTTGGGGTTGTTCAAAACTTCCAAAACCGTAGATCTGAGATCCTCCTCGGTCAACGAGGCATATTGCAAACTTAAACCGAAACCCGAACTGCGTACATTGGCCATATTTGAATGTTGATCGCCGAAGAAGGGAATACCCACCATGGGTACACCATGATATTGTGATTCGACCACACTACCCTGACCACCATGGGTGATGAACAATTTCACCTTGGGATGAGCGAGGATGTCATCTTGTGGCAACCATGATTTGTAAATGATATTTTTTGCTTGGCCTGGGAAGTCTTTATCGCCCCATTTCATCAGCACAGTGTAGGGCAATTTGGAGAGGACATTGAAAATCATTTTAGCCTTGTCGGGTGATAAATTCGATCCTTGGACATTTGTACCCAAACTGAAGTAGATGACACCATTTTCAGCGGAATCCATAATATCGGAAATTTCCTTAGGTAGAGGGTCGGGTTTCTCCTTGATTTGTATACCACCGATTTCAATGAGGGCTGGGACATTGGGGCGTATGGGACCCTGGCTGAAATGATGATTGGTCAAGACCAAGGAGACATTTTTGTAGACCTCCTCTAAGGGGGGATAACGATCGGCAGGGAAGTTGTAGCTGGAACGAAAAAAAATTAATATTAATTTTTTGTCGAAAAAATTAACTAATATTTTTCTCAGGGTGTAAAAAAATTAAAATTTTTTGGGTGTAAAAAATTTTCTTTGTATAAATTTACAAAAAAATATATATATACTGGAAAAATTTATAATAAAAAATATTGTCGGAAAAAAATAACTAACATTTTTTCTTTGGGTGTAAAAATATTTTCTCTGCATATACAAAAAAAAATATACAAAAAAAAATATTACTAAAAAATTGGTATACAAATAAAATATTGGTAATAAAAAAATATAATATAACAATTTGAATATTGACCTAATTTTTTCTTTGAGTGTATCTCTTCTCTAACTAAAAGTTTTATAAAAGTTTATAGCTAGAAGAGAAGAAACAAGTGAAAAAGCGGTAAGTTCGGCCGGGCCGAACTTTCTATACCCTCCACCATAGATATATTGACAGGTACTAGAAATGAAAATATAGGGAACATACCAAAAAGTCGACCTATAACGATAATACAAATTTTAGAAAATTTTAAAGGATAATTATACCCTCAGCCTTATGGCTAATGAGGGTGTATACACTTTAACAGGGTGAAAATGTGCCTCATCGAAATATTGGTTCTAGACCCCATGTTTCTTTGGACCAAATCCGTTTCAGAAAATTTAGATTTCGTCCGAACTTTGCCCATCTTATTATTTCTTCCAAGCTTAGTTCAAATTCTGGAAATTCCAATCAGGGGCTAGGTCTAAATGCGGCTATAGTTCATTATCGAACCTTACGTTCTAATTGTTTATCTCTCTATCCTCCGCAGGTGAAATGATTACAAACGAGTCTTAGAACCAAACTCAAAACGCGGAACAAATCTGATAACTATTTTAATATAAAAAGGGGGATATATGGGGACTACCCCAAAAAGGGGCGAATATTAATAATTTTTGGTAAAGGGATTTGTTACCATATACGACTACAAATTACCAAATTGCAGCAAATTCGGTTGAAAAATGCGCTCAAGAACCCCCAAATACCGAAAATTGGAGGTACCCTTATATGGGGTCTATCCGAAAAAATGGACATATATTCATAATTTTTGGTGGAGAGATTTGGAACCTATTAAGAACCCAATGTACCAAATTTCAGCGTATTCGGTTGAAAAACGCGCTCAAGAACCCCAAAATACCGAAAATTGGGGGGTACCCTTATATGGGGGATATCCGACAAAAATCACCTATATTTATAATTTTTTGTGGAGAGATTTGGTACCTATTAAGAACTCGAAATACTAAATTACAGCCAATTCGGTGGAAAAACGCGCTCAAGAACCCCAAAATACCGAAAATTGGGGGTACCCTTATATGGGGTCTACCAGAAAAAGTGGACCTATATTTATAATTTTTTATAGGGACATTAAGTACCCAATAAGAACCCAATGTACCAAATTTCAACGTATTCGGTTGAAAAACGCGCTCAAGAACCTTAAAATACCGAAAATTGGGGGGTACTGTTATATGGGAGCTATGACTAATCGTGGACCGATATATCCCATCTTCGAACTTGACCTGCCTGCAGACAAAAGACAACCCTATGCAAAATTTCCGCACCATATCTCAATTCCTTCAGAAGATAGCGTAATTACAACAGACGGACGGACGGACAGACAGACGGGCGGATATGGCTAGATCGTCTTAGAATTTTACCCTGATCAAGAATATATATACTTTATAGGGTCGGAAATGAGTTACAAACGGAATGACAAAATTAATATACCCTCCATACTATGGTGGAGGGTATAAAAAATATTGTCCAAAAAACTAACTAACATTTTTCTTTGGGTGTAAAAATATTTAGCTGGAAATAGAAAAACAAAAATTATATGAATTTTTTGTCGAAGAAAATTGATCAAAATTTCTTTGGGTGTAAAAATAATTGATTGACAATATTAACTAACTTTTTTTCTTTGGGTGTAAAAATAATTTCTTTGAATAAATTTATTAAAAAATATATATACTGAACAAAAATTGATAATAAAAAATTTTGTCGAAAAAAATTAACTAACATTTTTCTTTGGGTGTAAAAATATTTTCTTTGTAATAATTTATAAATATATATATATATATATATAGTGAAAAAATTATAATAAAAAATATTGCCGAACAAAATTAACTAATTTTTTTTCTTTGGGTGTAAAAATATTTTCTCTGCATATACAAAAAAAAATATATACAAAAAAATATTAGTAATAAAAAATTTGTATACAAATAACATATTGGTAATAAAAAATATATATTGTAAAAAAATGCAATAATTAACTAATTTTTTTCTTTGAGTGTATCTCTTCTCTAACTAAAAGTTTATAACAAAAAAAAAACACTACCACTCTAACAATCTTGTTTTACTTTATTGTACAAAAGAAAACCAGTTTAGTTGCCCAAAATAGTTACTAAGATTTATTTCTTTTAGCTCGGAAACCTCCCGACAAGCTCCGCTGTGCCTCTTGTCTGCCGGCAAGCAGCAAGTTGATAATTAAAAAAAAATTTACAAGCGTTTTCATTGTTTCTAATGAAAACGTAATTAAAATACCTTTAGTTTCGGTCGCCAACAGAAGTTAAAAAATACCAGAACATGACTAAGCAAAAAACATGGAGAATCTGCGAAAAAATATTTTTCAAAAAACTACGCCATAGAGGATTAAAAAAAAAATAATTTCAAAAAAAATCAACGCCCATAGATTGTGAAGAAAAAATATTTTAAAAAACCTAGGCCCATGGAGGATTGAAAAAATATTAAAAAAAAATCAAGGCCAATGAAGGACTGGAAAAAATATTTAAAACCAGTGAGTGGAGCATTACAATTGGACGGGGCCGATCATATTAGGGTACCATATTACCCCGGAACTCTAATTTTCTGAGGATGTTTATTCCGAGCTTGGGCAATATTTCGTGATATTTGCACCCTCTTGCCCGATTAGAGGTCAACAGCACCTCTTCCTTACACTGGCATATTTTCCGAATATTACTAACATTCAGTACAGACAGCCCTTCTAATTACTTGTCCAGATTCCATTCATTGTGGTCGATCTATAGGCCACGTCTTATAATTGTGGCCTATAGATCGACTCGAAAAAAAACACAAAAAAATAAGTTTTCGGTCCAATTTATACCAATATTTTTATCTGATCATAACCAAAAATTATAGGCGTTTACCTTGACCATACCTGGATCCTCATGGAAAATTTCAAAGCCATCAGCGTTATATATCCGCCCTCTAGTTTGAAAATGGGTTACTAAATAATATATGAATACGTAAGCACCTTTAAATATTTGAGTGTAACTCCCACATCCGAGTACATACGACAATGCAATTGGTGTCAATTTAAAGGTCAACCACTCCTCTTGGATATACTATCAACTTCTCGGGTCTATGTCCTTCAGGAGTAAATATATACGCCATAGCATACAAATTTTGTAATTTTTTTTCAACAAAACTCAGGGTCTATTTGTCACGCTAAATATTGACTGTTTTTTTGGCACGATCCTCTTCTCCATGTAAAAATTCGCGATGGGCCATAATAGCGGCCTCTGGAGAAAATCAGACAAAAGTAAAGTTTCTGGTTCATCCCCTAAATATTAGCCAATCTTTACCAAAAACAATACGGGTCTTCATTGGCCAGAACCCATCCTACGTGCAAAATTTTGTGAAGATTTGTCCATAACTGTGGCCTGTATCGTGTTTACAAATTATAATGGACAGACGGACGGACGGGCACACTAGATCGATTCAGCTAGTCGAGATATGACGATCGGTATACTTAAAGGTGGGTCTAAGACCAATATTTCGCGGCGTTACAGGTCGCATTTATAATCCGAATTGGATGAAATTTGGCACTGCTCATTTATTTGGCCCAAGGACAAACCCTATTGAAATTGAGAAAAATCGGTTCAGATTAGATATAACTCCCATATATATTTTCGTCCGATTTAAGTCCCTATATATCTTTTAATTTGCACAAAATTTGGCATAGAGTACTGAATTGGGTCCAGAATGATGTGTGCCAAGTTTCGAGAAGATCGGTTCAGATTTAGATATAGCTCCCATATATATCTTCGTCCGATTTTATGTAAATGAGGCACCAAAGACCCTATATATCTTTCAATTTGCACGAAATTTGGCATAGTGTACTGAATTGTGTCTAGAATGATGTGTGTCAAGTTTCGAGAAGATCGATTCAGATTTAGATATAGCTCCTATATATATTTTCGTCCGATTTAAGGGGCACCAAAGTCCCTATATATCTTTCAATTTGCTCGAAATTTGGCATAGTGTACTGAATTAAGTCCAGAATGACGTTTGTCAAGTTTCGAGAAGATCGGCTAAGATTTAGTTATAGCTCCCATATATATTTTCGTCCGATTTAAGGTAAATGGTGCACCAAAGTCCCTATATATCCCTCGATTTGCTCGAAATTTGGCATAGTGTACTAAATTAAGTCTAGAACGATGTGTGCTAAATTTCGTGAAAATCGGTCCAGATTTAGATATAGCTCCCATATATATTTTCGTCCGATTTAAGGTAAATGGGGCACCAAAGTCCCTATATATCTTTCAGTTTGCACGAAATTTGGCATAGAGTACTGAATTGAGCCTAGATTGATGTCTGCCAAGTTTCGTGAAAATCGGTCCAGATTTGGATATAGCTCCCATATATATTTTCGTCCGATTTAAGGTAAATGGTGCACTAAAGTCCCTATATATCGCTCGATTTGCTCGAAATTTTTCATAGAGTACTGGATTAAGCCTAGATTGATGTGTGCTAAGTTTTTTGAAAATTGGCTCAGATTTAGATATAGCTCCCATATATATTTTCGTCCGATTTAAGGTAAATGGGGCACCAAAGTCCCTATATATTTTTCGATTTGTACGAAATTTGGCAAAATGTATTGAATTATACCTAGAATGATGTCTGCCAAGTTTCCTGAAAATCGGTCCAGATTTAGATATAGCTTCCATATATAGTT